TGGGAGGCCTCCAGAGGCCCTCGGGATTCGGCCCCGAGGGGGCTGCACGAGCCGCTCCCCCTCTTGGACCCTGACGCGCTCAGGGATCTCTCTAGGCGTTACAAGGCGACCAGCGCTGTAGCCGCGGGCGGCTTCCACATGCGTCACTTCTCGTTCCTTTGCGACGACGGCCCCCGAGTGGTTGCCATCCTTTTTTGACCTCGTGGAACGTCTGGGGGCCCTGCCCACGCAACTCCAGGCTGTGATCATTGCGTTACTCCCCAAGGCTGTCGGGGGTTGGCGGCCAATCGGGGTCTTCGCTGGACTGCGCAGGCTCTGGGGCAAAGCGCGCAGGCCGATCGCCTTGCAGTGGGGGCTCAACCACGAGCGCTAATTTTTGCTGCGGGGCACCACAGGCGCTTTGCATGTGGTCTGGAGGCAAGCTTATGGGGCAGAGATGGGTACTGCGGACGGGGAGGTGGCGGCCAGTATTTTGTGGTATATGCACAAATATCACGAACTGTTCAAATTGCGCAGGCTCGAGTGTTGTGCTTTGAGGCTGGGTCTCCCACCTGGGGCTCTCTTTCTCACCTCGGCCGCCTATCGAGCTCCTAGCTTTTTGTCTATGGCAGGGGTGATCAATGGCCCCTGGCATGTGAATCGAGGTGCGGTGGCTGGCTGTGGCTTCACAACCACGCACGTGAGGATTTTCTCGATCGAGGCTTATGACAAGGTCCCGCGGTCGCCGAGCACTTTCTTCGATAGTTATATCGTTGATAACACGTTATCCTCGGTCGGTCCGCCCAGTCTTGTTAGTAAGGAGTTGATCGGGGCTGCAGAGGCCCTCCACCACGCCATCACTGTAGACATGGAGGCGAGGATCGCCATGGACAACGTTGCTCTTATATCTTCTACGCCAGCGGTCGCGTCAGCCATTCGGTCGCATTTCGGGGGCCTCGCAGGCCCGCACCTTTCGGTCACTACCAACTTGGGGGGGGGGGGGGCGCCATCGCTGGACTAGCCAGGCGACAGGCTGGCAGGTCTCAGAACATCAAGGTTCGCATGGCCATTTTCAAAAGGAAGGTTGCCAGGCTGACGAAGCAGCACCCCTTTTTGGACAAACGCGCGGTTAAAATCTGTTCGGCGGGACCCATCCCTGGGGCGCTTTATGGTTGCACTGTTTTCGGGGTGTCCGGCCACGAGCTGCTGCAGGTGCGCAGGGGGGCTGCTTCATCGATTAAGCCGTCTGCAGGAATGAGGTCCCTCTCGGCCCTCATGATCTTAGAAGGCGACCCTGGTTGGTTCGGCCCCGTGGGACCCGCGGTCAGGTATTCTCAGGAGATCTTGTTCAGGCACACGTTTTTGTTCGACGGCGCGCTTTCGTGGCACGAGCTTCGGTAAGGTTGGGAATCGGCTTTTCGGAGTTCTCGTACTGTTACCTGGAGGCGCGTGTCAGGCCCGATGACGGCCCTTCGGCTCTCTTTATTTAGGATTGGCTGGTCTATGGATTCGTGCGCGGAATTCATCGATGATTTCGGCTGCAGGATTTCTTTGACCCTCTCGTCCCCTAAGTTGGTGGCCCAGCTGCTCAAGCATGGGGTCCTGAGGGCTTTGGAAAGGGATGTTGCCGAGAAAGAGGGTATTCAAGGCCGTGTCTGTTTCGACATTATGAAATCGGCGTCGTCGTCGCCCAGAGTCACGCCCTTGGAGCGAGGTTGTATCGGGAGTCTGGCCACCAACGCCGTCTGGACTCGAGAGCGAGCTTTAAGTTTAGGCTACCAGGTGGGCAGCACCTTGTGCCAGATGTGCGCAGTTGGGCCAGACACGCTTTTGCATCGGCTATGGTTGTGCCAGCACTGTGACGAGCAGCGCAGGGTAGTCTTGGGCAGCAGGGGTGTAGTTTTCATCGGCGAGGCGAAGTGCGCGGACTCTTCTGAAGATCTTTTGCTGTTCACCAGGGAGCTCTTCCAGCATCCTGGTGATACTGTGCCGCTCCTTGTTATGATGGAGGTGTGGTTTTAATTCCTGATCCTGGGGGCCTTCGGCTGAGGGTGAAAACTTCGAGCTTCAGGGCGAATTGTTTATTGACGGCTCATGAGCCCGTCACCCGATTCGGGAACTTTCCAGGACGGGCTTTGGGGCCCAGGTCCTCAACCAGGATGGACCCCTCGGGGCTGGTTTGTTTGCTCCGCTTTGTGCGCCGTGGCCCCAAACGCCAAAGCGGGGAGTGCGGCATCTTCGCTGCTGTCGCACACATGCTGGCTGGCCCAACTTATATCTATTCGGGTTGCCAGTCTGTTGTATGTCACTCGCAGCTGGCCAGGCAGCTAGCCTTGTCGCACAAGCGAATGCATGCTGGCTTCATGCTCCAGGCGCGCATGGGAGATCTTTCAAGTGTGCAGGCTGTCATCAAGGTGTGCGCTCACCAGGAGCTTGATGAGTCACTGCCTGCTCGCGAGTATTTTTTGAGGCTTGGAAACCACCGCGCGGACCGTCTGGCCAATCTCGGGAGGGCGCAGGACCCCCTACCGAGCCCAGCAGAAGCGGACGCGATATGGAGGAAGGTTTCCAATTCGCGCCTGGTAGCGAAGTTAGCCGCGCGTCTTTTGCCCCTGTGGCCCCGTCTGGACCTTCAGGATGTCGATTGGTTGGCCCCTGAGCCGGCCGCTTCTGACCGCCAGGAAGGCCTAGCCCACAACTGGGCCCAGCTCAGGCAGTCTTGGCAGCGTTCTGTTTGCCTGAGAGGCTCGCGGCCCTCTCAGCCTCCAGCCTCCAAGTGCCCAGGTGCCGACGGCTTGCGAGGCCTAAAGGCGGAAGATTTGTCACACCTAGGGCACGCCATTGCTGCGCGCGATTGCTCGGTCGGCTCTTTTGTTGCCATGTGCACTCGTTGCAAGCTGTATTCCACAGGGGGCAGATTTCGATGCCTGCGCGAGCGCTGTCCCGCGGGGCCTGTTAATTTGAACGATCGCGCCGTGCGCGGGCGCAGGCACTGCTGGAATCGCATTGTCAAGGGTCGCCATCCCAAGGAGGGCGGCACCGCCCTGCAGCATGTGGACCTGACGGCCGAAGGCTCACAGGATGCCCCCCCTCTCGTCGAGCCTCCTCCCGATCCTCCCCCCTCTCAGGAGCAGGTTGAGAGCCCAGGCCAGGTGCCGCTTAGAGTAGCAGCCGAGTTAGCACGTTACCGCACCACCGCGGCGCGGCCCGCGCAGGCAATCTACGAGCCAGTTTCAAAGGCGAGCTGCAGTGGCCGATGGGCCAACCGCAGCTTGCTGGCACCAGCGTCTGCAGCTGGAGCTGCGACTGGCGTTTCTCTCTCGTCCCCGCATTGCGCTGCGCCCAGGTTATCGAATTCTAAGGCGTTCAGGACGTCGCGCAGTAGCACATTTTTTTTAGTTTCAGTGGCGTTCCCAGGCTTCCCGCCCAGTCCCCGTTGCCTGGAGCGGGGCAGTCTTCAGTCAGGCAGCCTGTGCAGTCCACTCTGCCTGGGGAGGGTCATGTACACCCTGACAGCCTCGAGACGGAGGACGAGATGGCCCGTCTGCTGCTCGGGGCTTCCGAGGAGGAGGAGTTGGTCGTTAGGTCTTCGTCGTGGGGTTGCGGAGGAGGTGCTTTGCACCAGGGGTGATGTTCTGCAGGCCTGGCCGCTTGCGCATCACGTGTCGCCCGCTTGCACGCGCGTCAGGCACCCCAGCTGCGGGGGAAGGTGCGCAGCTCGAGAAATGTCAACTCCTCTGGGCTAGGCACGGGGGCGACTCAGTCCCGACCGCTGCCTTGTCCCGCTGGAGGTTTTGCCTCGGCCACCTGAAGCCTTTGCGCCTTGCGTTGGAGCGGGTGACGGTGGGTCCTTTGATCACTCCGCCCAGCTGGCTCAGGTCGCATCTGGAGGGCTCGCCATGGGTGCACTGGCTCTGGTGGCGAGGCGGGTCCACACCAGGGGCTGACCAGGGGCCGTCCAGGCGCCCGCCCACTCGGGTTAGGTACACCTGGGGTTTGCCTGGCGGTCGCCCTGGCGTCGCCCTGATTATTGTATTATTTGTTTGCGGCGCCGCGATTGTGTTGGGGAGTGCCCCGCTCAGGCAGCAGCTTGGCCGCCGCCCTGGCGTTCTTTACACCAGGGGCTGGCTTTCTGCGTTTCTCTGTCGCCACAAAGGTTATGCTGCTGCGTGTCGTGCGTCCCGTGCACGTGTGTCAGGAACCCCAGTTGTGGGGGAAGGTGCGCAGCACGTACGTTCGTTTTGGTTTGGTTGCACGGCGGCCGCCCTCCTTCTAGAGGAAACGGCGCCCGTTTGTCCCTGCCGTTGTACAGCGTGTGGTCGACTCCGTCCGATTGGCGCTCCCTCTGCGCCTGGCGGTCTTCGGTTCGTCCTGTTTTTCTTACTTCTCGCCCAGCTCAGCTGTTGCGGCTGCTGTGTGTCGGGCTCTGCCCGTCGCAGCGACTCGCGCTGGCCTTTACCGTGCCAGCCGTTGCGGCCGACCCTGACCTGTACAGGGGTCGTGCCGCTCAGAGCATTTCCCACCACATGTACAGTTGTGGTGGGTACTGAGCTCCTGGGGTTGATGTTGCCAAACAAATCCCCCCCCCCTCCTCCTGCTCCTCCTCCTCCCTCCTCTCCCCCCTGGTAGATGTGGGAGGGGAGGGATGCTGGACGGGGGAGTCTAGAGCTCTTCGAAGGTCTCCAGAGGTCCCGCGGAGACTTCCCGGGGCCCCCATGACAACAAAGGCAACTCCGATTCTCCGGCATTCTGGGGCACCAAATGGTGCTTGCCCAGACGCTTCGTCGGGGCGCGCGAATGTACCCGCCGGAACGCTTCTTCATGGCGCCCAGAGGTGCCTGCCATGACGCTTCCTTGGGGCGCGCGGAGGTGCGTGCCATGAGGTTTCCAAGGGGCGCTCGGAGGTGCCCGCCAGGACGCTTCCTGGGGCTGGGGGCGTGCTCAGGCACCTGTCGAAACGCTTCCTTCGGACGCGAGCACCCATCCGAGCCAACCGACCCCCTGGCGGCCTGGATGCCGAGGTCGAGTACGCGATGGCCGGGGCGGGCCTGCGCGAGCGGGCAGAGGTTCTGGGCGAGACCGGCCAGGCGCCCCGTTGGGCGCATCAGCGCCGCGGCGGCCACCGCCGCGGCCTTGAGGGATGGGGGCCCTGGAGATACAGACCGGGCGGGGTTGTTCCCCAGTGGGCTGCCGTTCGATTCCTGTCGGCACCTCATCTGAAAGGAAACTAACGCCATCTAACTCGGATCGGCGCATGGGCCCCCATGGCGTCGCCTCTGGCGCCGCCCCTGGCGCGCTCCACGCGCCACGGAAGGGAAGGGGTCCAGCGTTGATCCCAAATTCTCGAACGGAGCCCCGAAGGCTTTATGGTTGCACATTTTTTTTGTCCTACTGGAGCTTGCTGTTCGCCGCCTTTCGACCCCCCAGGGCCCTCCCCGGGTCCCCAGGCCTTCAAACATTAGCCTGGCGAAAGGCACAACCATGTGCAGTTGTGAGTATCGTAGTTGTGACTAGCATCTTCGGTAGGGCTTCCTGTGGGGCCACGAAACGTGGGAGGGGTGCGCTGAAACGGGGTGTCGCCCACATGCGGGCCGGGCGGTGCCACTGGGGCCTTAGGTGGAGCTCCATATGGGGCCACGAACCGGTTGAGGGGTGTGCCAAAAACGGTGTGTCGCCCACATGCGGGCGGTGCCAGTGGGGCCTTCGGTGGAGCTCCCTATGGGGCCGCGAACAGTGTGAGGGGTGTGCCGAAACGGGGTGACGCCTACATGCAGGTGGTGCCACTGGGTCCTTAGGTGGAGCTCCTTGTACAGTCACGAACTGTGTGAGGGGTGTGCCGACATGAGTCGCGCGGACGCGCGGGAACATCGCCATTGGGGTCGTAGGTGGGGCTCCCATATGAGACACGAACCGTGCGAGGGGTGCGCCGAGATGGGCGGCGCGGACGCATGGGAATCTCGCTACTGGGGCCTTTGGTGGAGCTCCCATATGGGGCCACGAACCGCGTGCGGGGTGTACCGAAATGGGTGGCGCGGACGCATGGGAACGTCGCCGCTGGGGCCTTCGGTGGAGCTCCCCATATGTGGCCACGAACTGTGTGAGCGGTTGGAAACGTCGCCGCTGGGGCCCTAGGTGGAGCTCCCTATGGGTGGGGCCACGAACCGTGTGAGGGGTGCGCCGACATGGGTGGCGCGGGCGCATGGGAACGTCGCCGCTGGGGCCTTCGGTGGAGCTCCCATATGAAGCCTCCAACCGCTTGAGGGGTGTACCGAAATGGGTGGCGCGGGCGTATGGGGTCCCGATGGGGCCACGAACCGTGTGAGGGGTGCGCCGGCATGGGTGGCGCGGACGCATGGGAAAGTCGCCGCTGGGGCTGTAGGTGGAGCTCCCATATTGGGCCACGAACGGCGTGAGTGGTGTACCGAAATGGGTGGCACGGACGCATGGGAACGTCACTGCTGGGGCCTTCGGTGGAGCTCCCCTATGGGGCCACGAACCGTGTGAGGGGTGCGCCGACATGGGCGGCTCGGACGCAGGGGAACGTCGCCGCTGGTGCCTTCGGTGGAGCTCCCCTATGGGGCCGCGAACCGTGTCAGGGGTGTGCCGAAATGGATGGCGCGGTTGCATGGGAACGTCGCCACGGGGATTTCAGGTAGAGTTCCTCATGGTGCCACCCACTAACCATGTGAGGGGTGCGCCGACATGTGTGGCGCGGACGCATCGGAACGTCGCCTTTGATGCCTTACTTAGGTGGAGCTCTCTATGGGGCCACGAACCGTTTGAGGGGTGTGTCAAAATGGGTGGCACGGGCGCATGGGAGCGTCGCCGCTGGGGCCATATGTGGAGTTCCATATTGGGCTACGAACCGTGTGAGTGTGCGCCGACCTGGGTGGGGAGGACGCATGCAAATCCTGCCATTGGGGCCGTACGTGGAGCTCCTTTGGGACCACGAACCGTGTGAGGGTTGCGCCGCAATGGGTGGCGCGGGCGCACGTAAACCCTGCCATTGGGGCCTTCGTTGGAGCTTTGGGTGGGCCCACGAACCGTGTGAGGGGTTTGATTGCATGAGTCGCGCGGGCGCATGGGAACGTCGCCACTGGGGCCTTCGGTGGAGCTCCTTAGTGGGCCACGAACCGTGTGAGGGGCGTGTCGACATGAGTTGCGGGGGCGCGTTCAAACCTTGCCGCTGGGGCCGTCGGTGGAGCTCCGTATGGGGCCACGAACCGTGTGAGGGGTCCGCCGAATTATGTCGCGGGGACGCACGCACACCTTGCCGCTGGGGCCTTGGGTGGAACTCATTCCTTATGGGGCCGCGAACCGTGTGAGGGGTGCGCCGCAATGCGTCGCGGGGACCCAAACATGTCCTGCCACTGGGGCCGTAGGTGGAGCTTCCTATGGTGCCACGAACCGTGTGAGGGGTGTACCTACATGAATCGCGGGAGCGCAGTGAACCCTGCCATTGGGGCTTTCGGTGGAGCTCCCTATGGGGACACGAACCTTGTGAGGGGTGTGCCGAAATGAAGGCGGCGGTGCCATGCGATCCCTGGCACCGGGGCCTTCGGTAGAGCTTCCGATGGGGCGACGAACCGGTTGAGGGGTGTACCGACATGGATGGCACGGACGAATGGGATACTACTGGTGATGAAGATGATGGTGATGATGATGGTGATGGTGAGGATGAGGATGAGGATGGAGGATGGAGGATGGAGGAGGAGGAGGAGGAGGAGGAGGAGGAGGAGGAGGAGGAGGAGGAGGAGGAGGAGGAGGAGGGAGGAGGAGGAGGAGGAGAGGAGGAGGAGGAGGTGGGACGCGGGGCGCTGTCTCTTCTAAACGAGGATTCAACACCACAGGATGGTTCGGAAAAGCTCCGGATGAAGGGGTGGTCCCACGGGAAAGCCCAGGGCCCGTTCTCATCCAACCGACCCGATTCGATATTACAGCCTGGTGCTTGCATGGCGCTGTTGTGTATCCTAGCGCGGCCGATTCGATTCGATTCGGGCTCTGTGCCGATGCTCCGAGCCGATTCGATGCACATCCCGATCCGATTCGACTACGCCTTTCGTTATTGATTGATCCTTCCCGTTTCCTTTCAGGACTCAGGACGCCCGCTTCTCTGATAATCTCCCATAAACACAGGGGCATCCTCTGTCGCCGCTGCTAGCGAGCCGCCAGCAGCAGCGGCAGTGGGTGGCCCTGGGAGGGGGCGCACGTCAGCCGCCGGTGGCGGCGCCGTGAGCTACTGCGCGCGTTGCTCATTTGGTCCCCGTCGCCTCTGCGGGTCGTGCGTCGGCGTCTCTCTGCGTGTCGTCCCCCCCTATCGTCATCATGACCCTTCTTTCTGGTCCTCCTGGCCTCGGCCGTCGCACGTAGTGGTCCTCGCCTCTCCTGGCCCTCCTGCGCCACTTGTCGCTCTTTCTTTCTCTTCGCCCTTTTTCTCCTTGTCCTCTTGCTCGCCCCTGTCGTTCTTCTGACTGTGGTCCTCCGTCTCCTCCCCGCACCTGGCCCCGCGCGTCTCAGCAGGGCGACCAGATGCTGTGCTTGCCTGGCCACCAAAGCGAACAATGCCATGTTGGATGACCCGTTCCCTTCCAAAATGTCGCCCTTTCTTGTCGCACGCCGATCGTCATTTTCGTCCAATTGCTACATGCGTGAATCGTTCATGTTTTCTGCCCCGTGCTTGCTTGCTCTCTGCCCCCCCTTGACGCGCCGTCGCAAGTAGTGGTTGCTCCCCCCACTCTGCAGCAGAAGCTGAGGGAGAGAGGCGGGAGGAGGGGCCAGGTCCCCACCACCACCTGGGCTGGAGAGCTGAACTTTTCTGGACGGATGGCGCGAGAGCGCCAATAAAAATATTGTCGCGATTCGCACAGCGCCACGCGCAAAATCAGTGAGCACGGAGGAAAAGGAGTGATGCCGATTATGATGATAATGATGCTGATGATGATGACGGCAATTATGGTGATGCTGCTGATGTTGATCATGTTGATGATGATGCTGAGGATGAGGATGAGGGTGAGGATTATGAGGAGGATGATACTGATGATGATTTTGAGGAGGAGGAGGAGTAGGAGGAGGATAATGAGCAATTAGAAGCAAGAGGATGATGATGATGCTGATGATGATGATGATGCTGATCATGCTGATGATGCTGATGATGATGGTGATGACGATACTGCTGGTGATTGTATTGAAGACGAATACGACGACGGCGATGATTGAGATGACTGCGATGGCGATGCTGGTCACGACGGTGATTATGGTTGTGATGATGGTGATCGTTGCGGTGTTGATTATAATGAATAGTGAGACTGGTGATGTTGATGCTGCTGATGATGCTGATGCCGATGATCATGATACAGTGATATGTTTCTGATGATGGTCATGAGGACAGTGTTGGTCAGGGCGGCCACAATCCCTTGTAAAACATACATGAAGTTGCACAAGCCCGTGCTCTCGTCTCAATACCGTCTACATGTTTGGTTTGGACGGCCCCGATCCCATCTAAGACAGACACGAAGGTGCTCATGGCCGTGCTCCCGCCTCAACGCCGGCTACATGATTTGTCCGGACGGTCACGATCTCCTGTCATACAAGACATTACGGTGCACATTGCCGCGCTCTGACCCTCGTGCAGGTTACACTTCTGGTCTGGACGGCCACAATCCCGTGTAAAACATACGCGAAGGTGCACATGGCCGTGTTCTCACCCCTGTCCTGGCTGCTCTCATCCCCTGCCCTTCCTCTTCACCTTTGCTGCTATTAGGGCGCTTTGCTGGGGTCACATTTGCCTATTGCCGAGCGCTGTTCGGTCATTAGACCTATGCGAACACCCATGTAACCGAGGAGGACGGGATATAGGATAACGGGAAGGCCGATAGAGATGACGTGGAGGAGCAGGAGGAAGCGAAAGGGGGCGGAGGAGGGCAGAAGAGGTCGGCCGGGCTTGGAGGGCGTGAGGGCCGAAGGGGCGATCATGTGCTCGACGGACCCTCTGCCCCCACCCTCCCTCGTATGCCTTCTCCGCGTGCCCCTCCTGCTCCTCGTTGTCCTCCTCGTCCTCCTTCGCTCCTTCCCCTCGCCCTCCTCTCGT